TATAAAATTGCCTTCTGTATGCCCCACTACATTCTTGAATATAATTGCAGCAAAGGTAAATACTCATGTACAAATATCCTCTGTCAAACACACGAATATATATTTCAATTCTCCCCCCTACACCCATTCAGCCTGCATGAGTATCCATGTATCTACTCAGCTCACAATTATTCTAGTATTTGCTTATAACAACGTTTACTTGTGTTGTCTTGTTCTCCTTTCCCTGCCTTCCTATAATTTCAGCATGTTTGGGTTAAACTCCCTCTTATTATGCCTTCCTCTTCACCAAAGTTGTCACATAGTGACCTTCTAGCCAGTGATTGACTGTCTCCTCATCCTAATCCTGGTAACCATCAACTAATGTTTATTTTAGTGTAGCACCTCTTCTTGACTTTTTACAATAATGGCCACATCCATCATCTTTCCCTTTGTGATTGACCAATCTCATTCAGCATATTGTTCTCCAAGTGCATCCAGGTTATGAGGTGTTTTGCAAATTAATCACTACCCTATATGGTTGCATAGTACTCCAGTTTGCATATGTACCAACGTTTTTTTGTTTTGTTTTTTTAATATACGAGTATCTTCCTATCGATGGGCATTTAGGTAATTTCCATCTTTTTACTACTGTCCGTGTATGCATTTCTATTCATGTCTTGGGTCTTATTTCTCTAGGATATGTACTAAGTTGATGGGGTTTTTGGTCAAATGGAATTTTATGGCCAATCTTTTGAGGCAATGTCATGTCACTTTGCACATTTGCCCCATTTTACGGCCCCACCAGCAGCGTATGAGGATTTGGGCCTCTCCACACCCTCATCATCTTTTGCTGTTTTCTGTTTCTATTTTCAAACTTTATCCTTGCTGCTAGGATGAGATAGCTCATTGTTGTTTTCTTGCCTTTGTTTGTTTGTTTTTCTAAAGATAGAACCATAGCCAACCTTGTTTTATTTGCAGAATCTAATGTTGGTTTAACGGTAGAAACTTAAAGACTGAGAAAATGCATTTATCTTTCTATAATTATATGGCCCATTCGTTGTGATTTAATTAACTTAATAAACCAATTGAGATATTTTTTCATGCTTCAAATTGCAAATGTTTATATAGAAGAAAACATTTATACACGTATTCAGTCCACTTAGCTTTATGTGATAGCATTTGTTTTTCCTATAGAGTTTGCGTGGCCATGTTAGGATTATTTCTAGATATGTGCATTTCGCTTTTTTCTTATTGGCTGTTCATTGTTTTGATTTGCATCTCTCTATTGGCTGATGATAGTGTTTCTTTATAAATTTGTTCATCACCTAAATGTCTTCTCCCATGAAGTGTCTACTTATGTCTTAATCCAGTTTTTAACTGGATTATTTGTCCTTTTCTTGGTAAAATATTGATGTTTTTAATACATTTTAGGCATTAGTCCCTTCTGTGATATATCATTACCCAAACATTTTCCCAGTCTAGATTCTCCCTTTACTCTTTAATAGAATATTTTGTTGCACATAAATGTCTAACTTACGCTCCTTTACTAAGTTATTCTTTCTCCTTAATGTATACAAATTGCCCTGAAGGCCTAAATCTAATCTTTCAAGTTGCTACTGTCTATTTGGTCCCATATAGTTAGTTATTAAAAGAGCATGATTTAATTGCCATCCTAGTTAATTGGTTTAGTAATGTGCTCAAGTTTCTTTTCTACTTCCTAGTTCACTGTGTAGTACCGAGGGCCTAAAAAGAGGCCATTTGTCCATGATAATTGGTGTCTACTAACTTGGACAGTTAGAGGGAGAACTCTATGGATGCAGAGAAGAAAATGGACTGTTTGGCCAATTGCTTCTGTCAACCACTGCTGCCTTTGCCATGAGACCTGAAGAACTAGATCATGCCTGGCTACCACAACAGAGTGAACATTCTGATCAAAGATTCTGTAGAATAATCCTTATTAAAATTAAAGGAAATTTCAGAAGAGAATTCTACATCCTTATGTATTCCAGAGTTTCTTGAGCCATTGGAGGCCAGATGAACCCCTAAAATGACAGCCCTGGGATAATATTTAAAACTTGAATGAAAAATAACGCCTAGATTCTTTTGAAAACCAAACTAATTTAATTTAAATAGAAAAAATCTCTGTCTTGATCATTAATTGCTTCTCCTTTTATCAGCTTATATCAAGAAGGCAAATAAATACGATGTGAATTAAAGAATATTTAATATAAATAATGGTTCCAAACACTGAAGATCTCCTAAGCAAATGGTAAAACACTGTATCTCCTCCATCGATTTTTAGAATTTGTGGCTACACTTTTTGCTTGTAATAAACAGTCGAACCCATTCCTTTAAATATAAATGAGCCTTTTCTTAAAAGGGGCCTGGAGTTTGAACCCACTGAGCAGATGACTCGATGAGCCTTAAGCAGCATGCATGTCCTTGAAACGTTTGTTTATTCTCTGTTTCTCAACAAGCCGAATGCTCTGAAGTCCTCTCTCTGCTCTGCCACCCATGTTGTATGACTTCCTCTGAGGAAGTGACGAGTACAAAATACTCTTGGCCATATTTGCTCTCTCCGGTATCTCTGGAGAAGCTAAAACGAGAACGGTTCCAGAAAATGCTGTTGAATCAAAATGGTATCCAAGCTAGAATGTTTATTGCATGTGCTCGCATTACTTTTATAGGGGCTTCTCGGAGCTAGAGGGTCTCCTGGACCTCCCGGACTCAAAGGCGCTCAGGTATGGAAATAAATAGTCAACATTTTAAATTAAAAATGTCCTTAATATTTTTTATCGAACTCTAGCTTTTGTTGAAAGAAAATACTGCTTTAGTACAAACAATTTCTGCCAGAAGTTTTTGAGTTACCATTTTATATTGGCAGATGTTAAATGTGATTTGGAATCATTTTACCATGTTCTTAAAAAAAATTAATTTATGTTCACAGTCTCACTGGAGCGTGTAAAGAACTGAGCTTGGAGTCTGATTTGTATACACTAGAATTTATTATTTGTGTCTATTTGTGACTATTTTGTATTTGAGATGGGATAAAATATTAAAATGTGAATTGAGAAAAATATGTTTACTAATCAAATGAATAAAATAGAAGGCATGATCCTTTGATATGGTAATCTCAACTATCTATTTAAAAATTAAAAATAAGTATATTTTGTAAATATGTTCATAAACCAAACATTACAACCCATGATGACCCTCTGGAACAATATAGAACTGCCCCTTTGAGTTTTCCAGAATGTAACTCTTTACGGGTGTGAAAGCTCCATTAATCACCCAAGGAGCAGCTGGGGATTTCAAACTGCTGACCTTGTGGATTGCAGCCCAGTGTGGAACACTGTGCTATCAGGACTCCTCAAATGTGTCTATAAGTGGAGTAAAACCATTTAGTGCTTGAAAAAAATTTTTTCTTGGAGAATAATATATGAACATGGTTTCAGAATACCAAAAAAACCAACAACCAACATTCATTTCTTCAATGTTCCGCTTTAGTGTCTCTTCTTCAATGAAATTTTGGATCCATAAAAGAATATGCCTGATTTTATATCTTATGCTGGCCTACTTGATCTCTCCCTAATAAGACTACACTTTTTAGTCAAAAATAAACTCTAGACATTAGACCCAATTCTAGTGAGATCTGATTTATCTTGGTAGCTCCAGGGCTTAAGGCAACACTCAAGAGACTCAAGGATGTATTTGTTGAGTGAATGAGCTATGAAAATATGCCAAAATAAACATGTTCTCTATAAGTTGTTCTTAATATATCAATGTATATTCATCTGTGAAGAATTTGTAGTCGAGCTCCTCTCTGTGCCAGACAAAGAAGGATCGAGAAGGTAAAGATTATTTTTGATTCGTAGTTTCAGTGATTCCTAATCAGAGTTTTGTGATGTGCTTGTATTACTCACTTTCACTCTTCCTTGTTCCCAATTTTCAAAAATACTTTTTGTAATCTAGCCATTTTCAAATATCGTCCCTCTTAAAATGGATAAGGGATTGCCACATTAAAATATATAATAGAGTCCTAAAATATAAATATTTTAAACCACAGCAAATTTTTCATCACATCTCAGAATGAGTTTCATATGTCAGCATAAATGGAAAAATAAGGCTTACATTTTAGGCCTTTATTTTGGGCCATGATATATTCTGACTTTCTTTTAAGGGAGAAGAAGGATCAATTGGACCCTTCGGAGAACTGGGGCCAACTGTATGTATCATGTACTTAACCTTCACACAGTGCTTGTATTTTCTTGAGAATAGCATTTTTGATAAATCCTTTTAGAATAACACACAAGTTTAAATTATAGTAAGACACAAAAATTTTAGAAGGCGAATTATAACCAATAGCTGTAATAGCCACTAAATCTGTATTGCTCCATAACTGAGATTCTCCAGGGATATTTTTATGATAGCATGCCTAGTCCATATTTATTTGTTTCTTCAATATTCTTCAGGTCTTAGAAATTGTAACAATTATTTATAATGTTTCTCAATGCATAATAAAAGCTAAATACTTTAGCTCATGTTAATAAATGTTATAACAAATTCTGCTTTCTACATATTAGTAAAATTAAAGAAAGCTAACAAGATTTATTCCTGTCATTTTTTTCAAATAATATCATATGATAATATAGGAACTACTTGTTGTCAAGTTCTGAAAATAAATTCTTACGCACTGAGTTTACATTATCATGAGTCAGTTCAGGTGTGTGCATTATTATGCTGCGATTGCTTTGATTTTAAAGCGGTATGATTAGACTAAAATGAAACACGTCTTTTTTCTCAACATTTTTACTTTAAGAAGGCTATGATTCTTTTCTATTGTACTTCTTCATTTTCACATATAAATTACTATCTCATTGGAAGAGAAAACTGAGTTTTATTTTATTTTTGTAAGGTCAGTTATTTCACAGAAAACCCTACTTGAACCTCATAATTTTCATCTTATTTTAAATGCACTTTCCAAGCCCTGTCCCCCCCACCCCTGAAAAAAAATGCATGATCTCCTCTTTCCCACTCATTCTTAGGACTTATTCTATTGTTGCTACTATTGGTGGAAGAGCGGCCTGAGGAAAATAGTAGGCTAAAAAGGTCTCATGAATCATCTCTAATACTTACAATAACTCTGCATTTATTGCCTCATTTTCAAGTATAGAATAAGGCTCTGGCATTATATGCATGAGCATAATATGCCCAGAAAAACCCAATATGGCAAAATTTAAACAGGTGCAGAAGTTGATTACACTTCTCATAGTCTGAATTGCTCGATTCTGTGAATGTTCTGATACCAGCGAGACTTCTTTCATAAAGTAGATATATTTAACTATTTACTGTTACAGCCATGTATCTCAGGGCTGAAAGGGGGGTCAAATTCTTTTCAAATGAAAGAAATTTTCTCCCCAAACTTCTTTCTAACTATTGTGAATAAAAACTGGATACTTAATTTTTTTTAAATGTTTGTAAGTATCACAGACAAATCTAATCATTTAAACTCTTAAGTAGATTCATTTCCCTATATCTTTAAATTGATTAGAGAACAATTGACATTTAAAAATATTGGAATAATTTCCAGTTCTTTGCTCTACATTGGTAGGAAACTATTAAATGATTTTACACAAGGAAGAGGCAAAAAAAATACAACAGTTTTTGGTTAGAAAGCTTAACTGTAATTTTAATTTGCTAAATCTCTAACATGTGGTGAAGAGAAAATGAGAATCCAGGGTTGTTTTCGTTTTGTTTTAGGAAAAGAAAATGTGACCATATTTGTAAATGACAATGACCATAAAGTCTAAATCTGTAATATCTAGTAAATATAATAAATCCGTTCTCTGTTATATAGTTTCTGCCCCTTCTTTTAAAAAAAACACTCATTGATTTGAATTAGTCACATACCCAGGTTGACACAGACTTTCCCTAATCAAGTCTTGTATACGAGATTTCATTGTTAGAGGCTGCATAGATCCGACACCAGTGTTTTGGATGTGGACTTTCGCATCTCTAGTAGCTCTTGTTTTACTCTGTTCGGCTACTCATTCTTGTGGTCATCTCTTGACCTTGTTGTTACCAGTAGGAGAAACTGTACCTTACTTTTCAATTTCAAATGTTTCGCTGTTCAACCACCATCTCCTGTCGTTATGATGTATGAACTCTTATAACATCTCCCCATCAGGGATTTCAGTCTTGTTGCCTCCCCTGTTCCTTTACTCCCTCATCACCTCACATTCCTCCCAGCCTGCTGAAAACACAGTCATCCCTTCCACTACATGCTGAACTTCATTTCCATAACCATTCACTCTAACGCTACTAAATTATTACTCATACTTTCTTTCTCCTCAAAGTCCATCTTTTCTCTCTCACCGTCATTCTTAATACTTTACTAATGGAGATTTCTCCGAGACTATTAAAGTAATCGGCAACTCTCACTTATATCTGTGTCTATGCATATGTATTGTGTTCTTTTTTTTTTTTTTAAAGGTTTGAACAGAAAGAGTGAGTTTATTGAAGGGAAGTATTGTGTTCTTTTCTGTTGTGAGTGAATAGGCTATTTCTCTAGCTAAGGTTCAACTTTTTACTTGTTCGCTAGACTTCTTAGCTTCTTGCCTACTTAGAACATTGATCCAGTAGTTCTCCACACTCTTTTTCTCGCATCATTTTTTCCTATTGGCATAGAAATATGCTATTATTTCTCTCAACATAAAAACAAAACTTGTATTTACTCCGGTGTCCCCTCTAGATGCTCATTTCTTTCTTCTTCTCCTTTCAATGGAACTCCCTAAAAGTGTTATGCATGCACGTTCTTCTGAAACCGCTTTTGTCCCCACCAGTAGAAATTATCTTATGAAGTTCATTAGTGACTTCTATATTGTTGAATCAAATTTCTCCATCCTCCCAATTCTCATATGACGCAATACATAACCCTCAGAATTTGATAGCTGATCATTTTTCCCTCCAGAAACACAAAATACTTTACTCTTTTGCATAGTTTTACTCTCTGGAAGAAATTTTACATATTTTCCCTCTTTTTTTAAATTCCAAAGTTTGTCGGGCTTTCAGACTTGACCTTAGACCTCTTCTCTTTTCTGTTTCTACTTGCAGTCTAGTAAAGGAGCTCACCTCGTCATGGAATTTTGAATATTATCAACCAACAAAAAACTCACTGCTGTGGAAGAGATTCTTCCACATTGAAATCTGTGGGAGTGGGGAGAAGTGACCCACAAGGTTTCCAAACATATCCATCTTTATTGGTGTAGGCAGACGCACCTTGCTCCCCCAGAGCTGGTCGTAAGTTTGAGTTACCAATGTTTTGGTTAGCAACCCAGGATTTAACCATTGGGCCACCAGCGCTCACTAACTTCCACCAAATTGCTGATCATTCCCCAAATCATATCTTCATAAGTTTCCCTCTGTTGAACTCTGAACTTGTAAAACTTGTTCAAGCTCTATCCATTTAGATGTCTAACAGTATATCAAATTTAAATGTCAAAATGATATTCTAATTTTTGTTCCAAAACCGTTTCTACAACAGTCTTCCCCATTTCACTAGTGTAACTACTCACAAAAAGAAAGAAAAGAAAAGCTTGAGTGTATGAGTCCACTCTTCACTGCCATCCTTCTCCCACATTCCACAGGACCTGCAAGAAACCTTGGAAGCTGTGCCCGTAACCCTTACCCAGAATCCTACTGTTTCTCACAACATTCTCTGATTTCCACCAGGATCCACACCACAGCTTACTTGGATTGTTGCAGTAGACCATCAGCTTCTGCTCTTGACTAAAATGATTCTATGAACACATAAATCATGTTAATTCTCTTCCCAAAGCTTGACTAAGGCTTTCTGTCCCATGCAGAGTATAAACCATAGTCTGTACAGTAGCCTGCCTGCAAGACCCGCCACGATCTGTTCCCTGCCTCCTATCTTCCTTTCTATGCTGTCTCCTTTGCAACCTTCATAGTTCTCCTTCTACTCAGCCAGTTGGATCCTTATGCAAAAGCAAAACCAAACAAAACTCTCCACTGGAGCCCTGGTGGCCGAGTGGGGTACCTGTGGGCTGTTAACCACAAGGTGAGCAGTATGAAACTACCCACTGCTCATTAAAGATGGGATTTTCTGCTCCTGTAAACATGCACAGTCTCTAAACCCACAAGGCCAGTTCTACTCTGTCACATCAGATCCTAATTAGCTTTTGAGGGCCATCTAGTTGACTCTGAGCCATAGCTACCCTACATAAGGTTTCTGAGACTGTAAACCTTTAAGGGAGCACACAGTGTCAATGGTCTCCCACAGAACAAGAGAGGGTGGAACCCCAGACCTTGCAGAAGCAGCCAATGCATATGAAAACCCAAACCAGGTCCTCTGCCACCAAGCTGCTTCCAATTCATAGCAACCATAGCTCGGGTTTCCAAGTCTGTAAATGTTATGGGAGCAGAGAGCTTCAACTGTCTCCCACTGGTAGATTTGAGCCTGGGGGTGAGCAGTCTCCTGCTTACTCAAAAGCCCCATCAAACACCGGACATATTCTCACCTTAGGACATTTGCGTAGATGTTTGCTTCTGAGTAGAATGTCCATCCCTCATATACCATTTAACTTGTCCCTTCAAGTATTCAACACCACCTTCCTCAATGAAGGTGTCCATCCTCTCAAACATTTCAAAACTAAATTCCCACAACTGTTTATATCTGTCTTACCTGCTTACTATTTTGTCCTTTGTGTGAATATATTTTACTTTTTTTTAATTGTTTAAGAAAACTACTAAAAAACAAAAAAAAAACTTAACCAATGATTACCATGGGTGAAAGAGGAAGAGGTTTTGCTGAAGCACATTGAGTTTATGGTAATGGTGGTGGAATAGTTTGGAAAAGGCTATCAATAATGGTTGTATAACATGAAGAGTATAATCAATGGCACTGAATTATACATGTAGAAGTTGCTGAATTGAAAAATGTTTTCTTTAGATATTTTTGCCACAATTAAAAACAATGATTACACGAATAACAATTAGTATAAGAAGAAGGAAATGTTCTAAAATGGATTGTGGTAATGACTGTACTATTCTTCTTGATATGATTAAAGTACTGGATTATATGATATATGGGTGAAGTCCCAATAAAACTATTGAAAAAGTAATTTGTGTGTCATCCTCACTAGAATATAAGCTCTGTGCTGGCAGGTATTCATGGCAGTCTATTTAGTGCATTCCTGTATCACTGACCCAGGAGCTCTGTGTGGCACACACGTCAAGTAACTAGGTCACTGCCATGGAGTCAGTGCTGACTCATAGAGGCCCCAGGACAGAGTAGAATTGCACTGTTACTCTTTTCAGGCCCAGAAAGCCACAGTTCCCTCTCACAGAGCAGCTGGTGAATTCAAACTTCTAACCTTGAGGTTAGCCCAACATGTAGCTATTGAGTATGACAAAATACATTATCAAATATTTTTTAAATTTCATCTTATTAGAACAATTTAAATTATATACACCTTAGGAAACTTTAAAAATGGAAATGACTATACACTTCCACCCATTTTTTCCTTCTTGTCTCTAGGGAAAACCAGGCCGACAAGGTTATGCAGGTGATCAAGGACCAGAAGGCTTAAAGGTAAACCAAGAGACTTGATTATAAGTAATCAAATATAATTTTCAAAAAACATAAAAGTATGGCTTTCATAGAAGTATGAAATTTAAATATTAAAGATTTTATTTAATTCATTAATTCATAAAGGACCAGTAAGAAGTAAACCTAGTTCAAGGGGCATGTGAGAAGCTATATCTCTATAACTATACCCATATTCATATATACATTACTATTTTGTAATCATACGGATAAATAAAAAATTAAAAGTTACAATAATATTTGTGGGTTGATATAGGACCACTAACCATGACTTTGGGGTTTATGCTCTACAACTTAATATAACTTCACTAATTTGGGTCCTTTAATAAGTAGTAATTGGTGACTTTAAGTACATTCCTTAGTCTTCCTCTCTTTAAGATTTTTGAAAAACATGCAATCAACTATTTTTTGCCATATTTTCAAGTTTTTAGTGATCTTTTTGTAATGCCAACAAAGAGAAAATAATGCTTTCTCTTTGCTAACACTTAACAATAAAGGTTTCGATATACACTAGTAAGACCTAAAAGAAACTAGCTTATAAGAATTATCTTGTACAAATTTAAAATTTAAGTGAACATTTTAAAAAACCACAGTGTCACACTATGTTTTCTAAAGCTAGAGTTTATTATCTTTACTAAGCTCATTATTTTTATAATATTGGAATCAATTCAGACCTGACCATTTTACACACGTAGTAATCATATGTTGTTAGTGGCTGCCATGTTGTTCAGTGCAGTTTAACACCATACTACTCCATCTTGCAATATAATGACTAATTGTATAAAGTAATTGGTGATTTATCCTCATGTGATTTCCCTAGCTGAAGCCTGCATTCCTGTAGTTTCACTTTTCACAGTACTTGGGCCTTCCATCTTTTACTTCTCATGAATCCAGCCCTTTGCTCAGACCATTCCCACCACCCAAACTGGCCTGTTCGCATTGCCTCTGTGAATATCACCTGCTCTTTAGAGTTCTGAATGTTCAGACTTAGCAAATTAAATTAGACTCACTCAGATCAGATAACATATCACCATCAAATGAACTCAGATGAGGTCAAGTTTACCACCAAATGATTGAAGTAAAACTGTTTTTAGAGCTGTGTAGACAGTAGAATTTTAGTTAGTGGGTATGGACGTGTATTTATTCTTTCATGAAATCGCCTTTAACTATTCTAGCCCACTGGGTGCCAGCTCCTGTGAGCTCCTCTAATGCTCACCTGGGTGGATAGTCTGTGCTGCTTGGCATTGATGGTACATTATCTCAAGTGAGATAAGAGAGTTTAAGTAACTTGTGTTCCCTGAGTAGAAATCAAGATCCTGTAATTGCATTAAAAATTTAAATGGAAGAGATTTTACGAGTAGGATAGCTTAAAAATAATCATTTTTTCAGGTTTTTATGTTCTTTTTTAACAGGGAGAAGTAGGAGATCAAGGAAACATTGGAAAAATTGGTGAAACAGTAAGCTTATTTTATTCACCTATGTTCATGTTTTTAATTATTTAAAAATAATTTCAAAAAACATCTAAGCCACAATCTGTGCTTTTAAATTCAAAATAATTTTATACACTACAAATTTAAATTTAAATTGGATGTTTCTGTTGAAAAAACTAGCATTTTTTATTCTTAAAAAGTTACGTTATTAAGGGTTTCAACTTTAAAGATTACTTTCTCTTTACATTTGACAGTTTAGAACAAACCAAGAGAAAAGAACTGAAAAATATAATTCCTTTTCTCAAAAAAAGTTTGATTCATTTAAAGTTATGTTACTATGGAAGAAGGAATCTTTATAGTGTATTTTAATCAGACATTAGAAATAATTTTATTTTCTATAGTGGGGAAAGGTACCAAAACATTCTCCAATAAATGAATCCACATAGCACAAGCAAAATGGTAAGTCATCAGTACAATGCAAGCAAGTTTGCCTGCAGCATGCTGGATTGTCACAAAGCAGATGTTCTGTGATCACATCAATTCAAATCGCCGGTGATTTTTCTTATAAATTAAGTAAAAATTAAATTTTCTATAAAACCATTTTATAAATTTAAAGGATTTTATTTCTTTTTAGTACAATAACAGTAGTTCTGGTAGTCTTTTTGTTTTGTTTTTGTAATGAGTTATTAATAAAACTCAAGAAAGGACATATTTAATTTTAAAAGGTCATCTCCATACCCAAAGAGCCCTTCCTAAGTCATTAACTAGTGAACACTTGTTCTTGTCTTTGGTGAGAATGGAAGTTTCAATGGAACATTTCAAAGCTTTGCATAAATTATAATTGCAACTTATATTTCTTTAAGGTTCATTGAAAAAAATGAAATCCTGTAATTTCTGACAAATTATTTAAGAAATATATGTTGTAGTGGGTAACGTATTGGGCTGCTGCCCAGCAGACCAACATTTCGAACCTACCAACCTTTACACAGGAGTAAAATGAGGTTATCTCTTCCCACAAAGATTTTCAGCTTTGGAAACACTAGGGAATGAATGGTTCTACTCTGTCCTGTAGGGTCATTCTAAGGCAGAATCGACTAGATGGCAGTAGTGTGTTTTAGAATTAATAGACAAAGTTCAACATCATAAAGAAACGCTTGTCTTAAAATAACAACTTAATTATATCAAACATATCATCATTACTTATTTGGTATTGTTGCACTAGTTCCACACCTTTTAAGAAGCAGTCACCAGTGCTACACAAAGAGGAAATTGAATTTAACAGACAGTAGATTTCTGTCAGTGGGAGAAAAATATTATGTATTGATAGTTTGCTATATGCTAGCTATTATGCTAAATATTTTCATATTGTAGTGTTTCATTTCATTCTTAAACAATTTAAAAAACTACATTGTGTCATTCCAATTAGAAAATGAGGAAACTAAAGTTACATAGCTAATAAATTACTGAGCTGAAATTAAAAACCTATAGCTCTAAACTCAAAATCTAAGTCTCTCTGCATTAGGTCATGGTAGGGATGCTTCAATATTAGTTGGACAATCACTTAGCCAAGTTGTAGTAGAAGACAATCAGATTCCTTTTGAACAAAAAGACATTTCCAATTTAAAAATGTTATCTTTCTCATGAAGGATAGGGATAAACACTTTTAAAAAACATAATTAGTGACTATTGAATTAATGAAAAATATAAAATTCTTAACCTATTTTTGGCTCCTGGTAATTTGACTTTTCTTTTATTTTAGCATGTTAAATGTAAAATTTTATAAGCATAGTTAATCAAATCCAGAATTCTGTTTCCAACAAACCATCAAGAGATATGGGAGGATATGGTTTCATTTGAAGACATCAATCATTAGTCATTGGACTTTCGTAGATTGCACTAGGAAAATCTACTGAACATTTAGTCCCTTACAACATGAAACCCTGTCTGTTGGAAATCTGACAGACATTAAGCAAATAATCACATCAAGAAATGTATATTTATGAACTGTGATGCATTCTACAAAGGAAACACTTCAGGAATTATTATAAGGATGTCACATTTAGATTTAGGAAATGAGGGAGGACTCTCTGAGGAAATGACATACGTAATATGAAGAATAAGTTCACCAGGAAACAGTGAGGAAAAGAAGCTTCCTAGAATATGCAGGATCGCATAAGGACTGCCAATACCACTGAGCTTGCTTTAGAGAAATTACTTAAACTCTCCAAATATCTGTTCTTCTGGCAGTCAAAGGAAAGATGTAAAACTACCTCAAAGGCTTTCTTGTGAGAGCTAAACACGACAACACACATAGAGCCCATGGCATGGTGCCAGTCCATTGTAAAAAGAAAAAGGTGGAGTGTGTGTGTGTGGGGGGGGGGCGTGATAAACCTTAGCGATTATTGCAGTAATCATAGTGGTGGTGGTAATTGTTTCCTGTGATGATCCCAAGTGGAAAGCATTTAACTCTTGAGGAATTGAAAGAAAACCAGTGTGACTAAAACTTGATGAGCTGACAGAAAACGTGGGAGATGACCCTGGGGAAAGGGCCATGTGAAGTACGTATTTTGGACTTGATCCTAAGGTTCATGGAAAGCCATTAAAGTATTATCAGTAAACCAACGATACGATCCCGTTTGCATCTTGAGACCACCCTGGTTGCAATGGGCAGGGGAGTTACACGGGGCTGGGAAAAGCAGAGAAGGATGGCCATGAAAGTGCTCCTGCAGTCGTCTAGCAGAGAGAAAGACCAGGGCAACACAGGAAAGAGAGTGGATGTCTGGAGATAAGGAGTGACAGCAAGGAAGGATTCTAACAGCCCATTATTAAATAAACCATTTACAGGAATATGAATAGTCTGGAAACAAAAGGAAAAGGTATACATAATGTCTAAAGGGTATTTCCATTCTAATAATCTATAATTCCTTTCTAAGAATTT